GTTTGAAATAAAAAAAAAAATAAATAAAAAAAAAACGATTAAATATGATTATGGTCTGACTTGACTGCATTGCTTTTGGTCCGAAACGAAGAATGAGTAGGCTTTAAAATTAATTGTGAGGGATTTCGAAACAATTTGTATTGAAATTATGATAGGCTGTTCTCAACGTCCTTCATTGTCAAGTGCTTCAAAACTTTCCCAACGAGCTACGCCAATTCTTATCCACTCATTAAAAAAGTGTGTAATCTCGCATTGTCGTAAATGAAGACGACGCCTTTTGCCTTTAACCTCATCAAATTTCATTACTATGAATGTGCCATAATAACGTATTTTAGAAAATATTTTTGACTTCTGACCAAGCTTTTTCATTTTAACCTAATCTCATATGACATATATTTTGCGTTTGACAAGTACACGAGCATATCGCTAAAGAGATCGGCACAATTAACTGGTTAATATCAACTGCGCGGTTCAAACTCATCATTTGACTGGAACTAAAACTGAAACAAACCGTCGACTCAGATTGGAGCAGCTCATGTTGCGTTATTTGCTTCCATTAACAACAAACCCAAACCCTATCTTACCTAACGTTAATCTGGATTTTGTGACCGTTTACAGAGTTTTATTCAACTTAACCATAATCGTTTTTCTTCGTTACTGTCGAAAATAGTTCACTTTTCTTCAATCATAACTTGTATTCTCAAGAATAGCTTGACTGCGTTTCGTTTTAGCATCATGATGCGTATAGTAGCCAAATATGGAGACTGATTCCTTAATTTTTTGTAAGGGTTTCACATTGAAATTTGCAAAATTAAATCGAGTAAGCCATTGATCTTTCCAAAGCAGCTTCACCATCAACGCCACATAGTTGTTGTTCCTAAGCTTGAAAAGCGTTGTTGCCTCAACCGAAGTGACATCGTAAAGTGTAACAAATTCGTTTGCAGATGTTTCAAAAGTCAATTTCAAAACTCATTCACACTCGATTATATTAATAGATGACGCAATGTTGTCTTTTTCGTTATCTATAGAATGTCATTTTTCACACGATCCATGGTATAGCTTTATAGAGTAATTGCTAAATTAAAGATTAAAGTTAGATGAGTCTACAGTCATCTATGTTATCAACAGTTTTTAAAGGCAAAGCTTTTATTATTAACCGGTACCTATACTTCTGTGTCGTGACCACGATGGCTTACTTTGATAGACAGAAGCTTTCACTATGCATTTTGCGGTTGGAAAGCCCAGATGCAATGAATTCGTTGCAGAAAATATTTCGATACATAGTCACTAATAAATCACAAAAAAAAGAACACATAGGAGTGGAGGAACTTATACACAAACTTTGAAAAGACTTTATCAGGTTCGATTGAACAGATTTCTAAGATATTTAAAGTAAAATTTGTGTGAGATATGATGCATAAAAATTTGTGTTTGCATTAATTTAATATTCCATTGTAAGCCAACAAGACAGTACAACCTGCTTAGTATTATTATTCCCGCTGTTCCTTATGTTTTCATTTACACCTCAAATATATACAAGTCGCGAAAGCGAATATTCGTTTTTCGTGCCTACCGTGCCTAGTTCTCAGTGCCTTATTAAATACAAAAAACAGAGAGAAAAACAGCTAAGGAAAGTAAACTCTAATGGCGAACTCCACAAGTGAATGCGATTACTCTTCAGTTATACATATATCCTATATCTTTTTTTAGTAGGACTACCCACTTACTCAGGGTACACGATGCGGTCAGAAAGAAGTGAGGAAAGAGAAAGGGATAGGAAACGTGGTGGCTGCAAAATGTGTGAGCTGTGACCACTCATTATAGTCACGACCAAAGTAATTATCTATGGCACTTGAGATTTAAACCCCCGAACACCGACTTGGTTCTTATTTAATCGGCTACTGTTGCTACTCATATAATTATATAGTAGTTTTGTTTATCTCTTTATATCAGTCTACACTACTTCTCAAAGACTTTATAAAATGTGCAAATGCTTGATTTGTGTAAGGTTTCGACTCCACTTAATCAATTCGAGTCTTCTTAAGATCCTGTGGAGGAACACTCAAGGCAGGAAACACTGAGACGAATACTTGAACATTGCCTTAGATTTTAGTTTTAAATTTAACAATTAATAAAATCATTGTAAAATACAATCCGTATGAGTTGCCGAGTAAGCAAAGTAAGGCGCGTTCTTTGCTTTCATGGCTGACATGAATCGGCGACGGCTTTCTAGCAAAGTATTTTCATTTTCATTTTCATTATTAAAAAAATTAGAAATTCTTTTTCAAAGTTTCTCTTACAATTAAATTCAATTTAATTTCCTTTCGTCAAAAAAAAAAAAAAACCTGAAACATTCTAACGATTGTTATGCTAATGCGCTGTTGAAATGAATGATTTTTTTTTTTTTTTTAATTTATTATGTTTATCTTTCCCTTCTAATGTTCAATTGATGTTGACGTTCGTGTATGTAAATAATCAATATGTTGTATTATTTATTTTTGTATTTTGTACACATGTACAGTATGGCCAATGAATTGTGTTACGCATCAGGAAGCGTGCATTTTATGTGTGTATGCATGTATATCCAATTGATTGTGTCTTTAAATAAATAAACAATTTTAGTTAAAATTTACAAAATGTCAAAATTAAATGCGAAACGTTCAGTAAATATTAAAACAAATAATAAATGAATAATTTACTCTTCTTAGGTCATTTAAAGGGTTAATGCATTTTTTTCCTTTTACCTTTGTATTGCATGTAAACATTAATCCCGCAAAAAATTTTGTAGAGAGCGTTATGCAAAAAATTTGAAATTAATTTTTCGTAATATTAAAGCGGCAACAGTTTGCTTCAGTTTGCGAGCTTTGGCGACACTTCATTAAAGTAATGAATTTTTTTTTCTTCTTTTTACACTTATTTGTTTACGAATTTTTTTTTCTAAAATAAATTTTTTAACTTCATATGAATTTTTAAAATTCTCTTATCACTTAGGCAACACTTGATGCTACGAAAATGGTTTCCGATTTTTGATCAACACTTAATAATCGAATATTTAAAATTTTCAATTTCATTCATATTTAGATATGCATAAGTTTTTACTTCATTATTACTATTATTATTATTTTTTATTTTTTTTTCATTAAAAAATTTTCACTTAACATCGATAACTTTTCTGTGTGTGTGTGTGTATGTGTGGGTGTGTGTGTGTGTGAATGTTTTTATAACATAACTCGCGTAAAATTGCGACCGCTGTTGAAGCACGACTTAATGCATGCAGTTCATTTGGTAAACTGGCGATAAATTTCAAGTGTTTATCACTAACAAGGGAGCCTTTTAAAGAAATTATGTTTTTGAGGGACTGTGTGACGTGATGATGACGTTTGTTCGCACAGCTGTGTAAAGTTTATCTTTCAGATTTCGAAAAATCCGGTCCCACGAGAACAGTTTATGTTTCAAATAATTATAGCAACATTAACACGCAAAATATACCGATATATACATACGTCATTTCTTTTCAGATAATCTCCGAGTTTTCTCATAACATACATGTGCACTTGTCCTTAGATTTGTTTACATGTAGTTAGTTGTCTTCTCTTTTATTCTATCTTAATTCGTTCTCTTTTGCAATAACTAAGAGACTAAGAGAGCGGTTTTCATTTTCGATTCGAAACGTGAAGACTTGTCTGTACAAAGCACAAAATTCGAAATTAATTTTTTTTTTTTCTTTTTCAATATAAAGTGTGTAAAATTTCTCCATCGTGTGTAGAGAATACGTAGGGTCGTATTGTTTGTGTTTTGCCACACTTGTGGATTTTCCTCGAATTTCATTTCATGCATAGGAAACGTTAGTGTTATCATAATATTGTCACTGCTGCGTGATAAACATCAAAAAAACTTCTTTTCAAACAATATAGAACGTGTGGAAAGAATTATGTCAGTAGGCAGTTGGCTAATAATTAATTGTGTGTCTAGTTACAAGGAGTACTTACTGAAGAACTTTTCTATGAAATATTAAAGCAACAATATGTGTTCTCGCTATAGATAGATAGTTCAAGTCAATTTTTGCAAAAAACCTTTAAAGATGTAATTACTTGCATAGCAAGAAAACACACTTAGATTCTCTTATAAGTATTTACTTATAAGATTTACTTATAAGATAAAAGGGAATGGATCTAAGCCTAACGAGGTAAAAACTTCAAGTTTTGAATATCGGTTTTATGATACAAAATGTGGATAAATAATTTAAAATATTATAAGCGAGTTACACTGACGTTTCAGTACCCCACGTCATTCCGACTTGTAAAATTTTTAATTTACTTCCATCATAATACATTAGGAATCATTCTTTCTTGCCGTAGAAAGGATTGTTTTCGTGAGGCGTCCAACAAGTAGATCTATGTAGTCCAAACTTATCAGAGGATATTCACATGTCGGATAACCATTTAGACGTATTTCTGTCATAAAATCTTTAGAATTAAACTTTGACTTCATAGAAAGCAGGAGAGAGGAGAGGGTTCTTAGGAAATGGTCACGCGTCTTCCAAACTTTCTGTATTCAAAGCCAATATGTCCATTTTTCACCATCATGAAATTTGAAAGTAATTTTTTTATTTCATACGACGACATTTTCAGTGGCGAGAGTGAGCCTTACATGGCAGCGGTACCACGATGCGAGCCACTTTTAATACCGTTCACTTTTCGGTCAAAACATGTAACAAAATTGTCAAAACACTTTGTATATTGTGACATAAATATTCACACTAATGAGCGGACTACCGTGCGACCAACAAGGCTTAAATCAACTCAGAAGTGATTGTGAGTACATCAGCATAACATAACATCGTAAGTTCTTTTTCATGTTGAAAACATGCGCTCCTATTGAATATAATATTAACAGAAGTAGTGCAGCGCATAGACATACTCAAATGGGCCTTCGTTAATGAAAACGGACTGCTGAACTTTCAATTGCTTTATGGCAATTGCGACATCTTGCAGTGGAAATAATCCTCATCTCTGGTCATCGCAAACTATAGTGATTCGGAAACCCATTTCAGTTAAACGTAAAAAGCTCCGCCATGTTTGTATAATCAGAACATCTTCTAAATAGAACACTAAACGTTGTGTTGATACATCTCTGTGAAAATGCACATATAACCATAATCGAATCTCAGTAAAGAAATTTATTCAAACATTCTCAATTGTATGGAATTTGTATTTTCTTAGATCGTTGGAATTTGTATACAATTATTATTGAGAATATATACGCTTAATCTCGCATCGAAAGGCCTGTTGAATGATTGAGAACGAATATGCGTTTATTCTCTAAAGTCCCACAATACATGCAAAATTCTTGATAATTGTATACGCTTATTCTCTAAATCGGCACAATACATGTAAAGAAATTTATTCAAACATTCTCAATTGTATGGAATTTGTATTTTCTCAGATGGTTGGAATTTGAAGTGGGCGCAGCTGATTTTTTTTCATTTTCAGCATAAAAGTCCTTGTTCCATAGACGTGTGGGCGGGTCCTGTGTAAAGCTTAGATCCCTCCCGAATTCTTTTCCAAATTTGTAAGCGATATATTCAATTCCGCAAACTCGGAATGAATATTATACACACAACATGTTTAGGTGCATTTAGGTTTTACTGGGGGAAACTCACGAGCAATGGTATTCTCTAAGCGGAAAGCAATATAAGATATTGCCGTTATACGAAATTATAGGCAACTTTTAGTAGAAACTGCAAAAACTTCAATTTCCGGTTAAAACATAAATTTTTTAATGTGACTAGAAATTACTTAAATAAGTAGTTCAAAAATGACCCTCTCCAAGTTAAGAACCATTAAGAACCATTGCAAAAGTCAAAAAGTTGGGAAATGCCTGAAAATTGTCTGGAAATTGAAATGTGCCTCTCCTGAAATCACCATTAACAAACTGCGAAAGATTTCATTATCAGGCATAGAGATTACATCTCAACATTTGGTTAGAGCTTACTGAGAGGTACTTTCAATTATTACATTAAATATCGAGATCTAGTTCCCCTTCCATTATGTCGTAATTTCAGATCCTTGCATTTCCCTACATATCTAGAGCCCATAGGGTAATTGTTGAAAGGTATTGTGCAGCAATATCTAAAACTCGTTGACTATTTTATTTGTCATCAATCGTTTCACCTGAGATATTTACACTTGGGAACTCTGTTGCCCACTGTTGCTTGCTTTTTATTGCCTTCAAAGGTTTACGCTAGACCAATGGATATTCTAACATGACAATGCTCAAACTCTCATTGCTAAGCCGATCGGGGGAAATCTTTTCAAGTGTAGAATTATCTGCCTGATAAGTTAAGTTCGTTGAGAAACTTCAATTAATTAACCATAGTTTGGTCGTGGAACAGACTTGTCCTTCAAAACATGGAAAATAAGAATTGGCTGTACTTAAAATGATCTTTTAAGACAACAAAAAGAAACATTAGGAAAGCATTTCAAACAATCAATATGATCACAATAGCCGTTACTAATTGCTTGTTTTCTTTTCTTATCAAATTTTTTCCTTTTTTTTTTTTTTCTTTGAAAGTGTGGGAAAGTCGCCAACACAAACAATTATAAACATGCGTTACTTCTTGCATTTATTTGTGTAACAGTTTGACACCAACAACAACAAAAATGACCAGTTATGCAAATTGCAGTTTATGCAAAAAAAAAAAAATAAACGCCTGCCGCCACACATTTTAATCACAACAAAGATCTTCTACAAAACATAGGACGACAACTCACTCGGGCACATAGTTTGTTGAAAAACTTGAAAAGCGATATATTTCGTAGGGTAAAATTTCTATTTCTTCCAAATTTATAGATTTATTGGCTGCTACTGCACGTTGATTATTTACGCGGTGCTTGACTGGCGATGTCGTCTTAGGAATCGAAGAGGCCATTATTATTTAACAAAATTATTGTCTGATGTCATTTCTAGATTTCTTTTTTTTCCAAAATATTACTCTTTAATCAATTGGTTTATTTAATAAGTTCGTTGTTAAAAGAAAATAACTACTAATCAAAAAAAAAAAAAAAAAAAATTGCAGTCTTGTTATGCTTCTTCCTCTTTCATTTAAATTGAATATTGCCAACAGCGTTAATAATGCAACAATTTAAAACAAGAAAAAAAACCAAATTTATCACTCTCTCTTCTGTATGAGTATTCTTAAGTATAGCATGTGAATCCTTATTAAGTAAATATTTCAATCTTGAGTGCAAATGCGAGTTATTCGAATTATAACGGGGCAGAACGATTTTGGTAAACAGTTATGCTTTATGTATTAATGGTGGCAAACAGTTATAGTTTTCGTACTAACGAAGAGAAACCAGCGTGGCGACTCGCGACCCGATTGTTACTCGCAGTTACTTTATCAGATAACACTTTCCGCGTTTTGCAGAACGCGGAAGATGTTACAGCAGTCAATCTTATGGGCCAATAGAGCCAATCGGAACGTCAAACAGAAGACACTTAACAATTTGCTAACGTAATAGCCTCCCCCTTAAGCATTCGGGCTTGCATAACTATACTGGGAATTACCGCGAACTATATAAAGCCCAATAACATGAGATTAGCTTTACAAGTACTTCTAATGCTCTTTTTATACGGCTGGTACATTCCAAAAAATTCGTGTAAGAAAATTCTTCCAAAAAAAAACTGGCATAAAATAATATATAAATGGAAAAATAGTAGATAGGTTCCAGATCTAAAAAAGCAAATTAAAAGTACAATAAATATTAAATAATATTAAAAAATTCTTGTTAGAGTTTGTAACGCGTATATGTGTGTAGCTGGTTTCCGTTCGTTGGCTTTGTCCCTGCTGTTCACAATAATTGCATTCCGTTCATTAAGATCTCTCCTCATAGTTCTCTCCTCACATAGTAGCACTGTTAAAAGAGAGAATTATGAACAGAGAACAGAGTCCGAAGTCCGTCTGTATAGCATAAATGTAGTTTTTTGAAATAAAATTAACGTGAGGAGGCGGTGTTGATCATCGCTGAAGTAGAACGTGAGCAGAAAAGAAAACTTTTTGCGGCACATCGCTAGCCAGCAGATGTGTGTTAGGTGGCCAAAGGAAAA